ACGTGAAAAAGCCATCGACATCGATAGCTCTGTATGAAGTGTACAATTTATTTCAGCAGTAGGCATACAGTATTTTTCCTTTGGTCGGTGCCGGGGCCACTAAAGATCAAAAACAAAATGTTTTGTCAATTTTTTTAACGATTGTAACATTTTTCAAAGGGCAGATTTTTTTTTATAAATTTAGTCCGAACCTTTTGATGGGAAGGATTCACAAGGAGAGCCACCGCTAAGCGAAGCTTGTTGCGATGACCCTGCACTCTACCCTCCGATCGCGTAATTCCGATTCTATGGCAGAATTTAGAGTCCAAAGTTTAACGTGCGCACAAAGCCGCGCACGACCGGTCCCCTCGCTGACTTCGTCTGGCTACGGCCTGCCACCAACCGCAACCATACCTGTCAGGAGGCCCATAAATGTCGAGCGCCCGTCGCGCTTCGAACCCGGACTGTCATAACCGGGAACGCGTGCTCTCACCACGCGGAGTCCAACGCTCTAACCAACTGAGCTACAGGACCGGCAGATGTCAATCTCTTAGTGTCTTGCGCTGGTTGAGGGCTGATACCCTTAACTTTAGCAGGGCCCGACTCGGGTTGAGCTCTGATCTAGACTCTGATGGCTCTATGTCACCCACATTGGCCTCATTCCGGCCTCTGAAGGCTCATTCTGGCCTCTGAAAGTCCAACACCGGCAACAGAGTGAACCACGCTGGCCTGCGGGCCCCATAATGGCCTCAGTAGACCCATGCTATGGCTGACCTCATAACCCTCCCCCCGCGCCGGCTCTTCGGAGTCTTTGAGCCAGTCTGAGGACCCTATGCCGCTCTCGAACCCACGCCGGTCTCTAGAAGCCCATGATGCCCCCTGAGGGTCCCACGCCGGCCTTTATAAGGGCCACTCCTACCTCAAGGGGCCCAAACATGCATAAGATCTGAAAAGTGGTTGCCGAAGCCCTCGAGGTGGCCTCTAATGGCCCGACGCCAGCCTATGAAGGCCCGCGCTGGCTTCTGAGGGCCCAGCACCAGTCTCTGAAGTCTGAAGTCAGATGACAGATGGCCCCACGCTGGCCTCAGATGGCTCACGCTGGTCACAGAGTGCCCAACACTGGCCTAAAAGGGCTCCACATTGTCTTCAGAGGGCCCCAAGCTAGTCTCGGTGGCCAATGGGCCTCTATCTGACCTAAGAAAGCCCCATGTCCCTGGGCTTAAAGACCCCACGCTGGACATAGTCGGCCCCATGCTGGACATAGAGGGCCCACACTGGCCTTACAAGGCTTTACACTGGCCATAGAAGGCCCCACATTGACCTTAGAAGACCCCCACAATGGCCTTAGAGGGCCCCACGCTGGCCTTAGAGGGCTGAGCGCTGGCTCCTTAGGGCTCTACACCAGCCTCAAAGGATCCCACGCTCGAGTATAAGCTTCTTTATGGCCGCCAAAGCGACCTCTGAGGGCCCACGCTAGCCTCTGGGGGCTCGGCCTTGGCCTCTGAGGGCCTATCAGCGCCATCAAATGGCATTTTAAGATAGTTTGGCGCAGTTTGACTTTAGTTATGCTTTAGTTAGTTTGGGCCAGTACTTTGGATGAGGCCCTGAAGATCGTTTCTCTTGGGACACTCAAGCAGGCACGTAGTACGTACCCAGGATTTTGCCCAGGAGGGGGCCGCCTGCTCTCAAAGGGGCCCACGAGTCACCCGGATGCCGCTGTCAACCCAGGCAGGGGCGTATCCAGAACCTTTCGATGAGGGGATTGGGCACAGTGGGTCCGGTCCCCCCTTGCAGACGGGCCCCTCTGTCCGTCTGTCTGTCTGTCTGTCTAAGTCCTGAGAAAATGTGCAAAATTGGCAGGTAAAAATATCATTTCTTGCTTGAGAACTGAGAAGTATGCATAAAATGCACGGTATTTTATGAGGAAGTGAAGCGAGCGAGCGCCTCAGAGTCACCTGTGTTAGTCCCTCAGAGGTGTCGGTAAAAGGCTATCAGATGCGCTGGTGTGGGGTCCTCACAGGCGCCGTTGTGAGGGCCTTGGGGCTTAGAGACACTGGTGGGGGCCATCACTTAGGCGTGTGTGGGGCCCTGAAAGTTACTGGTGGCCCTTCATAGGCCGGCAAGGGACCCTCAGAGGTCGGTAAGTGGCCCTCAGAGTCGCTGGTAAGTGCCCGTCAGATGCGCTGCTCAGGGCCCTCGGAGGCGCCGGTGTGGGGGTTCTCAGAGCCGCCGAAATAGGCCATTAAAAGGCACTGGTGTGGGACCCTTAGAGGTGGCAGTGGAGGCCCTCGCAGGCGCCGTTGTGATGGCCCTCAGAAACACTGGTGTGGGCCGTGGGGCCATAGCAAACGGGTATGAGGCCCTTACAACTGATCTCTCATTAGCCTTCAAGGGCCCTCAAAGGCCGGCAAGGTCCCTCAGAACCTAGCGTGAGGCCCCTCTGGAGATAAGTGTGGCTACAGAAGAGCCCATGGGGTGTTCTCACAAGCCCTGTGGTCTCCTTTCCAGTTGAAGCGTTGCCAGCGCGGGCCCTCTGCCGCCAATTGGCACCGCAGGTCCTCTCGGGCCCGAGGGGACCCTAAACCCTATAACGGACACGTGCTCCCTCGCCCCTGGCCATACCATTGAATCCAAGTGATCACGGGCCGTTCAGGTAATCAGGGGCCTCTCAGGTGACCAGGGGCCTTTCAATTGACCAGGGGCCCACCAGGTGACCAGGGGACCCTCTGATAACCAGGGGACGGTTATACTAGGAGCTCCAAGGGTAACTAAGGGCCTTAATGTGACTGCAGGGGCCCTTCATATAACCAGGTACTCCCCGGGTAAACATGGGCCCTTCAGGTGACCAGGGTTTCTTCAGACCACTGGCCAGGGGTCACCCAGGGGATCAGGGGCCCCTCAGGTAGCTAGGGGCCCTTTAGATAACTAGGGGCCCCTCAGGTAACCAGGGGCCCCTCAGATAACCAGGGGTCCCTCATATGCCAAGAGGCCCCACTGGTAACCAGGGGCCTCTCAGAAAATCAGGGGCTCTCAGGCAATCACGAGCCCCTTAGGTAATCAGGGGCCCCTCAGGTAAGCAGGGGCCCCTCAGGTAACCATGGGCCTCTCAGATAACAAGGGCCACTCAGGTTACCAGGGCCCCCGTAGCCAGGGGCCCCTCAGGTAACCAGGAGTCCTTCAGATAACCAGGGACCAATCAGGTAACCAGGGGCCCTCAGATAACCATGGGCCCCTCAGATAACCAGGGGCCACTCAGGTAACCAGGGGCCCCTCAGCTAACCAGGGACCCCTCAGGTGACCAGGGGGACCCTCAGGTAACCAGGGCGCCCCTCAGGGCCCCCATGGCCCCCCTTGGGTACGTCACTGCACTCAAGTGACCCAAAGGGCCCACTTGCATGTTTGATGCCAAAGGGGGAGGCCATGGCCTCTTGGCCTCCCCCCTGGATACGCCACTGGCCAGGGCCTACACCGCGGCTTTGTAAATATGTCTGTGGGGACGCTCCGCTCCGCTTCAGAAATGTGCTGGTGCCGTCAGAATGCTATCAGCTACATAGGCTCTCTCATTCTTTACCAACGTGCGAGTGCAGCAAGGATTTTTTTCTCTCTCTCTCCCCTCTCTCGCTCTTTCTTCTCTCCTCTTTATGTCGGCTTATATTACTTTCTTCTCGATTTCGCTCCTCTATTTCTTTTATTCTAAGAAATAACACATCACATGTAAGAACACGTATATGTATTTACAATACACATGTAAATATCTGAATGGCGATTCAGTCATCACAATCGAATCATTCGCACCTCTTCCTTATGTGTTTTATTTTTACTCCCCCATAACCAGCACGTTCCGATCAACCGCAAAAAAGACGCTTGGGGGCATCCCCTCCGCCTCAGCTGGCGAGGGCTTGACTCGGAGAAATGAAAAAAATAACGCTAAGATTTGTCAACGGTGTTACTGGTATATAGGGTTTGCACAAAACTTTCCTACAAATTATTGAGGTAGCCAATGATATTCAAGAAATTCCTTGGCCTTAAATGTTAAATCTGTTTGCCCCTCGTCACTTTTTTAGTTCTGCATGGGATATTTTCAAAATAAACCTGCTCTTCGGTGAGTGCACAATCAACTCGCTATTGTTTGATTACATTTCTTTTCATATCTTTCAAAACAAATGACTGTCGTACACATACCTAATCACATTGACATTTGTCGAATTGCGAAAAACACCGTTATGTATACCAGTTTTATGTAAATGCAATAAAAATATAAAAATTCCGTTAGCTTATCTTTGCAGCATCCTTTGAATTTAATAAATTCGTAGAAATTTCAAGGTCAACAAACTCTTCAAGTACTTAAGCATTACAATTCACATTACCGTAACTTTGTTTGTTCTCCGTCTATCGACAATAGTCATGTAGTCATGCTAAACATACTGTTATTGGGCATATATATTATTAATGATCCTTCTCGGAGTCTGCAAAGCATGGCTAGAAGTTGACAGATCAACACGGTGTCTTATTTATTGGCTTCACGCAAATGCTAAATGAGGAGAGCAAATAAATGCAGCGTGATGCATACAAGCTTCAACTGGCCGTATTTCAGCGTCTCAACAGGCCAAAGTGCGGTTTCTGGCTGTTCTCTAGATTGAGATGCATTAAAGCTCGAACAATGTGATCAGCTTTTGTGAGAGATCCACAATTCACATTGATAAGCTATCTAAATAAAAGAAACTATCCTTTTGCATCTACATTGAATCTCCATTTGTGCTTCTCTATATATGTAGACAGCAAAGTATCGCTCTTTTCCAGTGCCAGGTGTTTGGGGGAAGAGAGGGGTAAGAGAGAAATATTCTTTTCTGGGTACGCGATTTAGTTGCATTTTTAAAGTTCGGATTCAAGGGTATGAACGAATCATAATAATCACTTAATTCACCGCCTGGGGCCTGCATTGTAAAGTAGGCGAACGCAAAACTCAACGGAAAACATGCACATACCACTTCATCGTAAAGCAAGGTAAGGACACAAGCAAGTTATTCCAGGAATATGAATTTTGAAACAGCAACGCCAACGTCTCAATATGTAGAACATTCATAATGACACGATTCCATTCAGCTCTTCGTAACATTTTGTACGATATAACACACATCCACATAAGCCTCGAGACAAGCGTTCAGCACCAGTTTGGCTGGACCCTGCCCATAAAACATCACACGCTCCAGCCGGAGTGAGAACACATCGCCCACGGACTATCACCTAATCACCCGTTCAAAACAGCTCGCTCCCCTGATCAGCGAGCAGCACACGGGATGTGTTCGGCTCGTCAGTCTGGTCCTCTTCCGGACCACTGCGCGTGGAGCATACTGCTGAGCCGCGGCGGGAGACGGGGAGGGAGAGAGTAGGACACGGAGAGAGCAGGAGAGAGAAGAGAGGGATCATCACCGTCACCGGAGGGGGCACCAATCACTAACGACCGGAACACAGCGGACGTCCAGCGGCGCCGAATAGCACCACATCAGCGACGGGCTCTTACACATGAGCATCCAAACACATCAGCAAACAATCATCAGCACACATACACACAAACACTCACACGCATGAATACACATGCAGACAGACACACACATGGACGCACGGTGAAGATCCAATCGATTGATCATCGCCAGTGGAGTCTGTAGTTTGCGCTGACATCATCACATCTGATACAATCACTGTCTGTTCAGTCTGTGAGGCCAGCCGGCCGGTCACAGCTCTTCTCAGGTCCTTCAGAGGTCACTGGGTCGACTCCAAGTACGGACGGGCGACTCCTCTGACTGCGCAGGTCCCACGCATAGCGGCACCTCAGCGCTCCCTAGTCCCACAGCTGGCCCGGAGTACTCGTTAGTCCCGTAGTTGGGCCTCAGAGCTTGCTAGTTCCACAGCTTTGAGTAGTAGTCTCACAGCATAGGCGTGGCCGCCCATCACTGAGGTCCCACTGTTACACGTTGTCATTGCGACATTATCTCGATTTTACCGCGATGTTCCTATTGCGATTCCGCGATAGCTCTGCACTCAGAAGTGTTTTTATTGATCGGACAACACTCCACTCGTGCTCAAATACCAAAACGGACAGAAAACTGTCCGCCAGACCATCAGACAGACAGACAAATAGCCAGACAGCCAGACTGGCCGAACTTCCCGCGGGGGATACTCTCTCTGCAACAAAACAGAAAATTATAAGTCAAGCGCTACTACTCATATACCTGTGAAGCTAGCCGATGCAAAAGATTATACCGGAATCAAAAGGAAGAGCATAATAACCTTATTCTTTGGAGCGCTCTTGCGAGGAACATCATGAATATTAAAGAGATATAATATTAAAGAGCATAATAACCTCACTTAAATCCAAAGCTATAACCACAAAATGAATCAACAAACGTGTCTCATACACTCGGTAGCCTCCCTCGCCAGCTAGTTCTGAGCCAACTCACCGGGGCGCGTTGGGTCCTCTAGCCATGTCACCTGGTGACCAGAGAGACCAGGGCGGGGGCCACGGACAGCAGCAGGCCTAGCCAAGGCCGCTCCCTCCACGTCGCCGCTGCCACGCTGCCCTTGCCTTGAATGGCGGCTATCTTGTCTCCTGCAAAAACAGACCCATTAGAGGCGCGCCACGACCGAGGAAAAAACGTCACCTGAAGGGCCCGCCATTTGTCTTCATTTGGGTGGCGGCATCCACAAGCGCGCAGATTTCGTAGCAGCGCCGACACAGTCCCTGGACATCTATAAGAGGAATTCATGAACGGGTAATTTAAAACAATGATGCTTTCATAGATGCAGTACCTAAATGGTCGGCATCATGACTATTAATTAAGTGAAAGTAGATATTTCTAAGAAGTCGATACGAAATAATGTTACGCTACTTTACCCATAATGGTTTCATCAAGCTTTCGGTGAATTTGTTGTCGTATCTCAGTAAAGACCAATAATAGTATATATCGTGATATTCAAAGGAAGATCCTATAAAACTTATTGACAAAAATATTAGGAAATTAAACAAACAAACGTGGGCTGTAAATGTTAGTGGTTTAAATCTTTACACTTCCCACTCGGCCGCTTTAACCACGCAGCGCCAACTTTCCAGGGGCGCTGTCAAAACAGCGCGTTGTTTTGGTCTAGTTTGTCCCCAGCTCGTAGCCGGCGGCGAACTTAATCATTCGACCGTCTGAGGCCGGATGCCGGCGAAGGTCAGCCCTCTTGAATCCAGCCCGCAGAAAAAATACCACCAAAAAAACGCCGACAATGGTGGGCCAACCGGTCAGCGCGCCGCACTGTACCACTGAGCAGGGACCGCGGGTTTCTCCCTGTCCATCCCACTTCCTTCCCTTCCCCCCGGCGGGACGGGCACAGTGCGCGGCGCGCACCCGTTGGAATGAATGACAGAGGCGGCGGGAGCAATCATGTATGGAGCTGGCAGAGACGGCCGCGCCGCAAAAAACAGCCCGCCCACTACCGACGTGACTGAAAACCGGCGGGCCGCTCCCCGACGGCAGCCCGTTTCCACCGCGGAAATCGACTTCCCGCCGGCTGCCAGAGGTTAGGACCAACGCATCGGGATAACGGCGCACAAATGGGAGCCAGATGGGGTTTAGATGGCCACCTGAGGACTGAATGTGGGACAATGACGTGAAATATATGCATTTTAACTAAAAGCGGAGCTATGTTATTCAAAGCCGAGATTGAGGAACTTTTGTAGCTGCATGTTGGCGAAAATACGGATATTCTTGGGATATATTTTTACGCCCAGTGCTCACTGTTCTGCATCCAGGCAGAACGCACATAATCAAAAATGGCAAAAAAAAAACACAAACAAATTGAACAAAATGAAATAAAAAGAGCAAATGAGCATGCACTGGGCAACGTCTCTGCTATAAAAGGTGGATGTAATAGCCGTTTTCACGACCGCCATCTGGTACACATTTGGTGCACATCTGGTACAGATTAGGTGCAGATTTGGTCAAATCAGGTTCAGTGTGTCTCTTAGCAGCTATCAGCTTGCACTAATTGCTTATATGCCTGCTTTGTCATATTATCAGAGAGCATCATCGATTAAAACACTGAAATAAATTCATAAAAGGAAGATATTTGCTGTAAAAGAAATTAGGTGCCGATTTGGTCAAGTCAGGTGCATTCGCTGGATAGCCCTTCGTGAAAACGGCTAATGTGATTCCTTGTGCTGTGGGGGTGCAGTCAGCATCTACCGCCAAATGCGGGAGAAGCCGGGAGGAAAATGGGTGTCAGCACAAACTTCGAATTGGCAAGACAGCTTCGCAATGCCTGGACGGTAACGAAAAGACGGAACGCCGAGCCGACCAACCTACCTTGTGAGACGTAGACGTGCACGGAGACGGGCTCAGCGTTGGATGGCTTGCAGCTGTAGTTGCCCGAGTCCTGCCTCTTGGCGTTTGTGATAGTCAGCTTGCTGAAGGTCTTCTCGGGAGACTCTGTCTCCACCGTGATGCCTCCCCGCTGTTTGTCGTAGTTGATCACGTCCTCTTCGTGGTACCAGAATACGAAACTCGGCGGCCGAAGACTCTGAAGTCATACAAGATTAAGATTAGCGCTCGATAAAAACTTCTTTCAAAAGACGGTTTCTCATTTCTGTATAGTTTCGGCGACGCAGAAAAGAGGTGCGACACAGCAATGAGATGGAGAAATAAGTTAGCTTTGATGCTAGGCAGATAGTCCAAAATGACGTCTTCATCTTCCACAATAAAATATCCACCACGGCTCCGCATCCATTCTATCACGTTACTTATCACCGGTAAATCATGAACTCTTGTCGCCGATTTGCGACTGTGGACTAAATACTCGATCTCCTCCGATAATCTGCAGTGAATTTAAATATGTGCGCTTAATTGAGATCGGCTCTTTTGATCGGGATGGCGGCCACCATCACCGGATGGCAAATTCCAATTCGTTCACAGCCTCCGATTTCTGAGAGCACCAATAACCGTACGATTAACTCCGACCATTCGCCTTTGACAGCGAATAGCAATGAGTCGGAATCACGTCATGGTTTCAAAGAGGTGAACGCGCGGGGTGACTGCCGTCCTTTCAGCTCTGCAGTCCTGGAAAGGCCAGACGGGGTCGCGCCCATAGAGAATGTACCGTAACGAATCTCGAAATGTCCGCTGCATGGCTAATGCCTCGACCCGGTCTGCCCGTCTTATCAACATTTCCGAGCCTCTTACAAACTTGGCCCATGAATAACTGATGTGCTGGCGCCACTGCTCAGCAGGCGCATATTTAAGAAGCATTCTAAAGGTTCGATAATATCGTGATGTGCCAATGAGCTACATTCTGGCACAAAAAATGGTTGAGAGAGTATTCCATGATTAACGTTGTTTAACGCAAGCTGTAAGAAAAATAATCCTACAATTTATAAAGGCATTACCCACCCCCCCAAAAAAAATCTTGTTCCATGTTGGCAGCTTTGAGGCGAATTAGTTCGCCAAACTATAGCTATGACATACCTGACCATGATCATAAGGAGATTACCGTTGTCGGCTTCAAATAAAACATTTAGTTTACATTTTTTAAGGGATGCAAAGACGTATTGTGGGTATGGAAGCTTCATATAATTGTACGAAGTTTCATATATCTCTCGCAAAATAAATATGCATTTTAATTTAGCGGAATTGCGCAATTAGATAGCACTGCATACCAAACGCCTAGCTGAGCATAATGCAGTAATTAAAGCGATCCCCGAGAAGCTATATAATTTATCTATTAAATGCATCTAAGAGACAGAAACATAGTTTATTTCCAAGCGTTTCTATAGATCCATTTTGAGGATATTATTTCGCTTCAAAATGTACCCAGCCTTGGGTAAGTGTTCTGATGCCGGTAAAGACACTCAATGGGGTGGTGAATTAGCAAGCATTGCGACATATTCGAATTTGAGCTGGCAACAGCGCCATCAACAGCATATAGCCTTCAAATAAATACCACCTTAAGTGAGCGTTTTGCCCGGTCTGGTGGGTCGTGCTTGTGTAAAAGCCGTTGAGCAAAGTATTATAGTAGCCGGCTTCTGTTGACGACATCTGAATTTCACTATGAATGGCTTTCATCATCAGCAGCCCGCAGCCCATTCATGGCTCCGCTGATAGCCAGAGTCATTGCTCCTATCCGCCGCATCGCGGGCCAGACTTTCCGCGGAGTACTTTAGATTAGAGGCCGCAGTTTGTCATAGAAAAGAAGTGCGTCGTATATGCTTGCTCTGACTCTGGTATCAACAGATCAGCAAGAGCATGCGTAACATAACAACATAACGCAATATTTTGCTCCCTCGCTGATGCAACTAAATGCTCGGGCATTGTACGCGACGCATTTCTATTGCCAAATAGGAAGGTTAAGCAATACCTTTCTTCGCTGCGTCCATGGTATGTGATGCTGAAGAGAGGATCGGAGTTGTCTGCGGGTCCATGCATAAGTGCTGGGAAGGTAGAGGAGGGAGGATAGGTTCATCTAGAATGATCACCGCAAGGCCCCAGCCGTGCAAAAAAAAGTGGCATTGCCTTGCCACTCGAAACTGTATATCAGTCTTACTTGTATAACAAAATCCCCCTCACAAACATGCACAGCCACAAATGAGCTCACAGCATAAGGATGCGCCGTAAGTGCGTTGCCTTACCCCTTCCACGACGCAGACCAACTGGATAGTGGTACCCCTCTGAACGTGGTACTCTGTACCGCTCGTGATGGTCGCCACCGGCTGGTACACATGCAGATGTACAAATCGGGACACGTACCCGGAGCCGGACGATACCTGCGGAACAGAATAAGTGTAAGATGTCGATGTGAGCGACGGTTAACCCGCGCATGACTGGGGTATTTTCCATAACGCGAGTGACTGGGGGGGGGGCTCTCCAGAGCCCCCTCCTATCTCCGAAACTACCGGGCTGATCGTCAAAATTCAAACGGCGTCTGATAGCTCTGGAAAAACTGTCGAGCGAAACTTATTTTCATTGACCTCGAGGTCACCGATGACGTCACAGGTCAGGTCAAAGTAAACATTATCGACATTTTTGTTAGTTCACAATTTAGGCTCTGACCGCCGGACCGCCGGTCCGATCAGGCTCATTTTTGGTTTACGCACTCCTTGACGGATATCTTAGATACCTTGAGGGTACCGAACTTTTACTTCGAATTTTTAAGGTCAAGGCCAGGTCATCCTAGGTCACGAAAATTGTATATCATGTATCGGTCACGTGACGCATGTTTTATGGTCCCTTTTACTCGTAGATTTCGAAAATAGTGTCGTCTGTGTCATTTGAGGTCATTGTCAGCTGAATTTACCGGAAGTCAGGTCACTTTCAGGTCAGAAAACGTCAAATTTTGAAAATGAAATTTTTCAACAGAAAAGGTGCCTATCAGATGCAGTTTGAGCTCAGGAACACGATGTGCCATTTATATTGCTGTGCGTCGTCAAAAACGTACTAAAAAATGGATTTGAAAAAAACATAAAATTGTAAAATTTTGACAAAAATGCAAATAACTTGGCTATTTTTGAAGATATTGGGCTAAAACTTGCAAATGGAGTTCATAAGTGTGTGATCTATCACATATATTCCGGTTTTTGCGAAAAGTCAAAAACTTTTTGAAAAAAAATAAAAAAAATATTTTTGTAATTGTAAATGAATATTTTTCAAAATTTTCAAAATTTCGAAAATTCGAGATAGCAGTTCGATAGCTACCTGTATTTGTAGTCCACTCATGCAAAGAAAATGGATCTAGCTTTAAAACTGAGCTCTTGAGAGCGTTTGCCGTATTTCAGTATTTTGCATGAAAATCGGCCGACATGACGTCACTCTGACGTCATTTCCGGCTAAACTATGGCAGCTAGAAAGTTGAATTTTTATCACAAGGTGTCAAATTGATGCCTTTGAGGGTACCGTAAGATTCGTGTTGATCCGTCAAACGGTTTAGAAGATATTGCTGAAAAACATGAGGGGGGCTCTGTAGAGCCCCCCCAGTCATGCGCGGGTTAAAATCTATTAGAGAATGCACTATTGACCCAAGGATCATCAGTAGTGGTGTTCTGTCAAATTGATGCCTCTGAGGGTACCGTAAGATTCGTGTTGATCCGTCAAACGGTTTAGAAGATATTGCTGAAAAACATGAGGGGGGGGCTCTGTAGAGCCCCCCCCCCAGTCATGCGCGGGTTAAAATCTATTAGAGAATGCACTATTGACCCACGGATCATCAGTGGTGGTGTTCTTGTTTTAGACTCAAAGAAGTATAAAAAGGGTGTTTGCACTTGAAGCGTAATATTTCATTTCACAGCTTTGTGGTTGCATGTTAATTGTTAACAGATCCCGTCGATATGCTTTCATGACTGCACTGACATACAGGGACACATAGTGAAGTAGACTCCTGACCCTATAAAAATAATCTACATAACACTTTGTGCATTATTCATCGCTCGCTATACACAGTGATGTCTGAATTCAGTCTGGCCCAGCGGCTAGTGGCGTCCCCCTCGCTCAGTCCGCCGATCCCCGACCCGTTCAGCTTCCGGCTGTGTTTATATATCACGGAGCATTCAGTGGACTCTTTACGATAGCGGCACATGAACCACATTTCTCAGTCCCTATCGCAGCATAAGATGGCACAACGATACCGTCATAAACCGTTCGTCATCCGGCAATGAATCAGCGTGTATCAGCCGGGCCCGGTTCGGCGAGTTTTAGAGCTCACCAGCAGAACGGTTTACATGGGCGCTGAATGGCCCACCACCGGAGTCGGCCGGCCGGCGGAGCAAAACGACGCCGCTGCTCTGAGCCCGGTAACGGAGCCAGACGACCGGCCGGGGCATGCCGCCGCTCAATAGAGCGTCCCGACGACGGCACAGCAGCGCGGGGCGACCCTTTGACCTCTACACTCTCCCTCCCTCTCTCTTCTCTTTTTTATCTCCATCCTCTCCCTCCCTCTCTCTCTCCCTCTCTCCGTCTCTCTCTTTTACGCTCCCTCTCTCTTTCTCCTTTCACTTCTCTCGGTCTTTCACTTTCTTCTCTCGTGCTCTATCCCTCTCGTCTTTTTCCTTTTGATATACACAAGCTCTTTTTATGCCTAGAAGGGCCACTTTTTTACTGTACCAATCCCATGCTGAACTGCACTGAAGCAGACAGCTGCAGACGCAATAAACACAAATTGACATACTGGCCGTGCCGAACAGAGCCATAAACCTGCCAGCCAACAAAATCACTCCGCGGAATCCGATCACCAGCAGCAAAGTAGCCGTTGTGTTCAAATCACAAATCGAACAGCCATCGGCCGATCCAAGAAAGGCACCATCCTATCACGTTCCGGCAGCTCTGTGCACTGATGACGGACCACGCCGGCCACCGTCACACAGCCTGTTCAGAGGCATTTGCAAATTGTGCGAGGAGCCAGCCGGACCGTAAATTAGCCGTTACGGGCACGGCCGTCTGACGGCATGGCGTGCGGATGAAAAATTCAGACACCGCGAAACCGGTCACATGGCGAGCTGCAGCCGCTCTCGGCGAGACATTGACACGGGCGGTAACTGTGTCGGGTATAGAGGTGCCGGGAAGACGCTTCTTCACGCGGCCCGTGCGCACCTCGTGACAAGATAGATGACCGGCTGGAGCCGAGCTCAACTTCCCAGGAGCCGGAGGATTTTGGGAGCCGTGTCCCCGCAGTGCCCGCTGCAATTTATGCATTGCAGCGCGGTATATTCCGGAGATTAGTACTGCCACTTACGAAATGATGTCATTTGCATAGATTAGCTAAATATGTGAGGAGACACCAGCGCTGCAGTGCGCTGCAGTTGCCGACATATGATCGCAAATACAGCTTCAAAATGTAGGTACTGTCTGGTACTGGTTCGACTGTACTTATTGCGTTCTCTTGGAAGCACGCTGTATTGTATTAAAGCCTTTGATCTTGCGCTCGAATAACATTGGGAAAATGTCATGGCTGAAAGGCTCAATTCACGTCCAATATAGGAAACTGGAGCACCTCGAATATCTGGGTCAGATAGACGAAGACGGATTTGTTTGACCCATGTGACTCCAAATGGCTCAGATGTTTCTATTCAGCCTCCTCCGCGAGCGTCAGGTCATCGTTGAGCCGGTCGCTGAACGGTACGTTGCGACTTTCCATAGCAAAGCTATATTCGCATCTCATTGCTTCATTTTTGCCTTTTTACTGCCATTTTCACATACCTCTTGCATGTCTTACTTTAGCGTCTCTAAGAGCCTTTAGCTGTGCGAGGTACTCTGACATTTACGTTAGCATCCATGATTTAAAAATGAGACGCCTCCAACTGAGCTATGCAGGCCTATGGGTCATTTTGCTCGCTGAAATGTGGCTAGGAATAGCGTGTTAGGGAGAGCGTTACATTTGTAGAGCGTTACAGTTGGGGAGTTCTTACCGAAAGCAGGCACTAGACTATAAGCGCTCTATACGCTGCGCTTACCAATTATGAGTCAGCTATATTGATATACGTTTATATGCACATACGTTTAGACTACAGGTAGTTTATTGTTAAATGCAGGATGCGGCTTAAAGGATCACACCTCTTTAAATGTCATATCAGCTTCATGGCCTACTAGCTAATTGACCCGGAGCCTCCGAAATATTGTCCCTTCCCTCGTCTATGTATATCTACCGTTATAAGTTTTCAGTCGGGTACAACAGTCGGTTGTTGCCATTCGCAAAACGATTTGCTATATTGCAGGCAGCACGACAACGGTTTGGCCCAGTCTGGCGCCAAACAGTTTACCCAGTAGCCATATTCAAAGGTTGTTAATCCTCATGAACTGATCAGCACGTACTTATGATTTTTACGAAAAAGCATAACTCGACATACCGAGAACGGTGTAACCAGCCGCACACATATCAAATGAACACGTCTCGGCTGAGGCCAAATCGAATACAAATCCAATCGAGCACGCGATGTATAAGGCGCAGCGGAAGGGAATTCCTTGGGCTCGGGTCAGTGTGGGTGAAATAGAATCACGTACTGTATCGGTGACGGTGACCATTGCCAATGCGCTGAATGCCGATTATTCTCGAACTGATGGCAGATTGCAGTAGAAACATTCGGTCACTGGCTCAGTAACTTTACTCCTCTTTACCACCTTATGTCCCCTCAGGAGCTCGGGATAGAACAATAAAGTTTGTTGTTTCAGATGAGTTCAAAGGTTACGCGACCTCATGTCATTTCTAAAATGTTGTATATCAAGTACTGATGCATGACTGAAATTGCCATATGCACGGTGGGCCAAAAAGTGTGTCACTTTTCAGCAGTAATTTCTCGAAAGTGCAGGTAAAAGATACGAAGAAGAAACTTTCACAACTTTAAAGTAATCGTTTGACAAATTATATGATACCCATTTTATGGACAAGTTTCAATCGAAATGATGTTGCCATCACCATTTAAAAAATGGGATCTGTGCTTCTCTCTTTTATTTGCGCATGTGCTCGAAGTGGGCACTTCCACGCTCAAGGCACATCTGAACGTGCTCCAGGGAGCTGACGCCCACCCTCTCCGCGGTAGCTGCTGGCACTTCACGCGCGTATACTGCTCGACGCTGACACGCAGCTCCTTCAGGCTATACTGGGCTTGTTGCGGTAAGCGCTGTCCTTGCAGGCTCCCCAAAACCAGCAGTCCAGCGGGTTGGGGTCAGGACTGTGAAGAGTCCACTACTTTTCGCTTCCCTTAGAGATCACGCGGTGACCGAAGAGACCTTGGAGCAGCTGCAGCGTCTCTCGGGCCGTGTGCAGTGGCGAGAGACACGGCGAGAGACGGCGCCAGTTTCCTGGAGCGTGTTCAGATGTGCCTTGAGCGTGGAAGTGCCCACTTCGAGCACAAACGCAAATAAAAGTGAGACGCACAGATCCCATTTTGAAATGATGATGGCAACATCAGTTCGATTGAAACTTTTCTATAAAACGGGTATCGTATAATTTGTCAAACGATAAGTTCTGAATGTTTCTTCTTCGTATCTTTTACCACTTTTGAGAAACTACTGCTGAAAAGTGACACACTTTTTTGGCCCACCCTTTAGGCTATTTAAGCTGGTTCTGATTTTCCGCAGCAGCAAGTGCCAATGAAAAGCTTCCTTCTGCATGCCTACATGGGCATATTTGCAATATTTATGATCATTTTACTAATCGGTCCTATGCTGCTGTACACCCATAAAGCCAGCTCATGACGAAATAAACGTCAACAGTCATCGGCATTCTGGCCACAACAATTTCATGTCCTCGTCGCCGAGGGGCCATTGAATCGTCAATCATTAACAATGATGGGTCGTTTCAAGTGTCGTGATCGCTGCCAAACGGCCTCGGGACTGCGCTGGTTCCGGCCGGGGCGGCTCGGCGTCGGGGGAGGCCGGCGCTGGGACCTTTATGGCGGCGCAGTACCGGACGACCGGATGACAGTGCGGTCACAGGGTATCGGTGTACCGCCCCGCCTCGCGTCGGGTTCACAAAGCGTCCCACCTCCGCGTGGGTCCCATACTGACCTACTCCTGCGCGAGGTTCCATAATCCATACTGCCCCGCCCCCGCGGGGAGTCTCATACTGTCCCAATCCCTACACCGGGCTCCTTTCTGCCAATTCTGCCCCACGCCTCACGGTGCCGTACTTCCCCCGTGAGCTTCAATGCTGTCCCTTCCCAGATTGAGTCTAAATTATCCCACGCGAGGTATTTGTGCGAATAAATAGAAACATGTAATTGAATACTGCGAAAAAACCCTCCCGCGATTACAAATTGCCAAGTGTTTACTCGTTCCCCTCTCTGTCTCTGTCGATCTGTCTCTGTCTGTCTATCTGTCTGTCTGTCTGTCTGTCTGTCTGTCTGTCTGTCTGTCTGTCTGTCTGTCTGTCTGTCTGTCTCTCTCTCTCTTTCTCTCTCTCTCTCTCTCTCTCTCTCTCTCTCTCTCTCTCTCTCTCTCTCTCTCTCTCTCTCTCTCTCTCTCTCTCTCTCCCTCTCTCTCTCTCTCTCTCTCTCTCTCTCTCTCTCTCTCTCTCTCTCTCTCATTCACCCACCCCCTCCCTATAGCTGCGATCCTTTGGGATTTCCCATATGTGCCAAACTCCCTGCATGTTTTCCAGGTTAGCTGGGAGGAAAACAGCGTATTGTGCCACAAGTACATTAGGCGGCTAATAATGAATCGTATTATAACACAGTGAGTCTAAAAGGACTGCTGTTCCGGCTTTGGAAATGTGTCTGAGGAGAAATATCACGAAAACTGTTAGCAAACAACTGTTTGTGTCCTATTAAAGAAACGCATAAATGCGGTTCATTGTTGCAGTTTTGAGCTGCCTAGGAGCAGCTTTGTTTGTATCCCTCCTCAGTTTTCTGTGATCTTATACCTAGCCTGTTCACTGAATTTGCATGTTTTGCCGAAGGTACGAACCTGGCACTCATAGGTCCCGTGGTCGCCCGCTTCGACGAAGCGGATCTGCAGCGTCCACTCGGTGGTGTCAGCCTTGTGCAGCACCTGGAAGCGCTGGTCGGTGATGTAGTTGGCCTTGCCGCCGGTCAGGATGTGGTAGTCCTTGCGACGTATCCATACCTGGAATGGAAGCAGCGAGGCAGATATGTCAGACGAACGACCCATACCAGGAATGTAAGCGAGTTAGACTTTGGGATAAACACCCGCTATTGCAGGGACCACGGAATGATACAGGTACACATACCCATATCTAAATGAAGCTGCAGGATGAAATTGGATACTGGTGCGCACTGCAGCGCTTGAGTCTGGCAAAACAAGTCCATTTACCCCAACAGAATCAGCGTAAAGAAAAATAGCAAAAAAAAAACTTGCTAGAGTGGCGCACTCCTGTAACCCTACAGGATGAGCAACATGCTGTTGATGACAAGTTAGACGAATAGTTTAACGTATGCCTTGATCTTCTGTCGTATTTCTAGAATGAATGAAATAATATTGCCTTGGACAATAACTTCCGGCACATGCACACAACACTGGAACTGTCACTTCTGGAAAGACCTAGCAATTTACCGTGACACGCTGTATAGGTGATGCAAGCGCGCATGACAGCCTATCTCCTAGCTTTTGTTCTTTGTTTTGCCAATCTCATTCAATTGGTCGAGCCATTCCGTTTTAAATGTCAACGATCTTGGAAAAATAGAGAAGCTGATAAACTGATCCTTCTAAATATCATTCGCTCAGTTAACGAAATTGAAATAATGCGCTACAACTAAGCCGAGCCAACCACATACACTAGACTTGTCGCTGGATACGAAATACTAGCAGATGATCGGTCATGATCATTTACCACTTCCGACTAAAGGCTAACAAGTGCACTAAACTACATAACTAGTTAACCCGCGCCCTGCTGGGGGGGGGTGTAAACACCCCCTTGTGTTTTTTCGCAAATATCTCAAAAACGGCGGCGCGGAGCGCCGCCGTTTTTGGTACACCTTATTGTACATCAATTCTACACATGTTGTGAAAATTTCAGACCAAGGTCATTCAAGGTCAGGTCACCAGGTCACTTGAAGTGACCTCACCTCATAAAAAGTTTCAATGTCTGTCATAGCTACACCGAGTGACCGATCGCTTTGAAACTTTCAGCGATTACTAAGAGCAATAACATGTACAAAATGTATATCTCAGAATTTTGAAATCGATGACCTAAGGTCAGGCCATTTTTGCGACCTCCCCATTATAAGTCAATGGGAAAAAATTGAAATGCGCCTCTTTTGAACAAAAGACATTATAAACACTCCCAAACACCGAATTACAAGTGGTTTAGACACACTGAACATGAAAATGGTGTCCGTGACCCCTGTTTATGCCCTGAGGTCATCTTAGGTCACGAATGGTATCTAACAGTTTTTCGCAAATAACTTTTGATAGAGGCATGCTAGAGCGATGAAAACGCCTTAGATGTGTTCAGCTCGACGGTACGGATCGACTGATATGCAACATGACCCTTTCCGGTCAGGTCATGACCTTGACCTGAGGTCAAATTTTCAAGTTGACCTTTCAAGGTCAACTTATAGTTCGTTCGATGCGTCTTGACGAGAGGAACACAATGCCGGTAAAAGTAAGCTCGTACAAGGCTTGGGTCAAAAGTTATTGCAGAAAAACTGTTTCCGAAAAAAATCGGTTATTTTTGCAATTTTTGCCCCCTGCAGGCAAAACCGTTGACGTTAGGTCAAATCTGAGAGAATTATTCAGAAAGGGCTTTAATAGGGCTATCGAATGCGCTTTTCCGCGGCGCTGTAGCTCTATTGGTTCTCGAGTTATGCGTTGGCTTCTTGGAAATTTTCGACATTCGACCTGGAAATCGGCGAAATTTTGCCTTCAATGACCTCTGGTGACCTGACCTTTGACCTGACCAAAAAATTGACAGAAGTGATTTCGTCATTATTTTTTATGTTCTTTCGAACGCCGCCTTCCGCGTATCGCTACGTGGCCCAGGAGCCGAGTTACAAGGGGGGGGGGGGTGTTCAAACACCCCCCCCAGCAGGGCGTGGAAATCCAGGACCCCCAGCCGGGCGCGGGTTAAGGATACCTATCATGAATGGCAGTTCCTTCAAACACATCCCATCACATCACATCCCAAGCCATCCATCCCACCCCATGCCACCCCTCAGGCCAACTCACGGGACTGTCGCCTCCGACGGCCGCCGAGCAGGGCAGGTGGGCCGTGTCGCCGGTCTGCACGGTCACATTCTCCAGGGCCCCACCAAACTCGGACGGGTCCGGCTGAGGCAGCGTGGCCGTGCTGCCGTCCCAGCTGCCCGCCGGCTGGTCGTCGCCCAGCACACTGATCAGCAGCACTGCAGGGATAGGGGGCAGGTCACAGGTCAGATGGTAGGTCGCGTCACAGGTCAGACGACACGACAGGTCAGGTTAGGTCACTAGTCAGCACAGGCTAGCACAATCGCAGGTCAGTACGTTCCACAAGTCATGTTACAGATCAGATCAATAGTCAGGTCACAAATCCAATCACAGGTTAGGTGTTTAGTTAGATTAAAGGTCAGGTAACATGTCAGGTCACGCATCAATAGAAAAAGTTAACGTCAAGGAATCAGGCCACAGGTTAGTTCAGGTCAGGTCAGAGGAAAGGTCACAGGTCAGTTTAAGATTGGATCACCATTCACAGCTCAAGTTACAGACGAAGCCTTTGGTCATGAGATGCCGGCCTTCTCCGGTGTCATGACGCCATGAATATTGATTGTGCAGCAGCTGTTGGCAGTCATCCGATCTTGTTTCGTCATATTGTCAGCAACATCCGTACTCCGTGACCTCTTTTACACTGATGCAACAGTTGCCACAAACCACAATCGCTGTTCGCCAACATACACAAATTTACGGATTTCGCTGATATAAATAATATGAACTATATGCATTTTTTGGTATAGTTCAGCTGTAAGTTGATCTCATACATAGTTACTACAGAAGTGTAGTTTTATGAACAATAACCAGTTTGCGCTGCTGCGTATAGCTAAACTTGTGTAAAACAGCGCTTGCAAAGCTAAATCGGCTTTGTTATTCAAGTTCCTGAATTATTCTTCAAAGTTCTTGAGACATGGCTAAATGCAATTAACTGATGTTGATTTTGTAAGGATTTACCGTAACTCCACGTCAAAAAGACCCAATCAGATATTTCTGACACTAAGGTGCGGCTGTTACACAAATCTGTTCGTACAACCTCTTAAATCCACTTTGCAAGGTAACTATGGACATTTTAGGCGCATATTTATCCCAGTTCAATTTTAGGATAATAAAGGAACGAATAAAAACGGAAACATTAGTAAATTATAAATACAAATATAGATATGTCCCTCATAGCTAGGGTGAGCCGTACGCGCCCCTGAGGATGACCTCTGTGAAGGTCATCCTCCTCATCATCCCCTATCCATCTCCAGAGCGGCATAGACCATCCGTGGGTCCGTTCAGCGGCCGCACGGCTGAACGCGTCCATCTACCGCCAGGCAACGGTCGGCCGGCCGCCGTGTGTGGCATACCGGGCCTAATGAGAAGCTATTGCCGACAGCAGAAGGGTGCTGATTATTTGATTGCCGCCGTCTCATTTCCTGCGGCCGTCGGATCTGTGCGCCGAGTGACCCGCCCACCGGGACTGCCAGGCTCCGGGAGCAGTCATGTGACCCGAGAGGAGCGCCATGGCGGAATCATGTGACCCGAGCGGCGCGTCACGATGGAGTCAGGAGTCATATGACCCGAGCGGTGCTTCACGATGGAGTCAGGAGTCAAGTGACCCTTGCGGAGCGCCAAGGCGCGGTGGAATCTGATAGAAGCTGAGGTGTGATTGTGTGTGATCCTATGCCTCCTGTTACCGAGGGCATAGGATATGTGCAAACTGGGCCTCGTTTCATAAAACGAGTCCGTAACTTACGCCGGTTTTTAGTCTTGTATTGCAAGTGCATGTGAAGCGATGGCGATGGTTTGAATCGTTGAATTCATTTATTTTGCTAGCAAGAACAGAAGGGAGAGGGGGAAATAAATTCATCGCTTCACATGCGCTTGCAATACAAGACCAAAAACCGGCGTAAGTTACGGACTCGCTTTATGAAACGAGGCCCAGGATACTCAGTACCGAGAGGGCGTTTCCATAGCGTATGGGCGCCACCAGAAGGCGATGCTAATAAAAATAAAGCAATGTGTTGAATATTGGCTTCCAGGTATAATAACAAGATAAGTCAAGGAATGAATCCAATAAGAAGTGCTAATGCAAAACTCCTACCACTACGTACTAGCGGATCTCAGTGGAATATCATTTGGGAAATTTTGACCTTTCGCAGCGTCCGACATTGTCGCCGTTTTGTCGTCTTCCTCGTATAGAAAAAAACTACGCATATTTTATACGATAGGGCTTATGTCAACTTTAAAGCAAAGCATAACATGGCATAACGAATCGAAATCCGAGTATTTTATCAGGGAACCTTTCGTGGAAGGAAGGACCATCCACAGCGTCCTAAATCACCTTTCTGGACCCACCAATGCAAGGCACTGATGATGATCTGCGATTCTTATAAACGAACTCTGACTAATGGAACTGAGATTCAAACTAACTTTACGAGAATCTGAGAATCGAATCTCGGGCGGTGCTCGGTCGTGGCTGAAAAACGCCCGGTCAGCTGCCGCGGCCGGCGCCGAGATGACGGCCGATCGCCGTGCGCCGCTCGCCAGGTCGTTAAATCACAGCCGCCGCGATGAGAGCACGAGGAAATCCCATCGCCGACAGTCGTTAGACTGAACACTCTTCAAAGGAGCTGGCGCTCGACGGCCCCATCCGGCGCGCCGCACATGTTGCCAACTAGTTAACTTCAGAGACGATCAGCGGAAGTCTAAGACACTGGGAAATGTTGCGAAGACATCGGTTCTAGAAGCGAAGTGTAATTTAGCAGAGTGGGAGGAAGCAGCGCTGAAAATTTCTTTCAAGATTCTCATCAGCACGTTTTTGCTGAGATCATTAATGGGGGGGGGATGAGCGTATTTGTTGAGGTGTCGAACCAGAGCAGACGAGCAGACAATGATTGATTCACAGCTAATAGCCGAGTAATCTAAAAGTTCCTAATTTCTTTAAACAAGAGGTCGCATGTTACAGAAAACTTGTAATACATCGGTTGACGTGTCCCAGCACGTGTTCCGAGCGTACCAACAATGTATAAAGAACAAGCTATGAGAACCACGTTTGATGAGCCCAAAAATGTAACTCATATTGGCTAAAGCAACAAACAGAATTATCAAAGTCACCGTTGGTAAAAAACTTCATCACTTTGACCTAAACATAGGTTCTATACATAGATCACATCAGCGATTTTATAGAAGAAGCCAAGGCCCTAGAAGAAGGTATAGATAGCTTCAAAAGTGAATGTAGGACGCCTGAATGAAATAAAGGGCACTTGTGATGTAAAGACAAATACAGGCTAAATTCTGGTTTGCAAGAGTAGCAAAGAATATTTAGGTTGCATTGAGATAATAAAAGCAAACACATGCATTTAAAGCCACCTCTCAAAGAACGCTGCAGCCCGGGTACCGAGCCGTGGCTCAGAGAAGCTAGTTCCGGTTGTTATTCGACAAACGTACCCTATCTTGTTTTGGCACTGGGATGGCAAAAGCCCACATCATCACTTTACAGGCTATTGCCTATTGTCCTGTGCGTAATTCGAGGCTGAAGCAGACGACCAAAGTGTGGAATCAACTCGCCAGTTCACCGCGCGCCAAACATCGTACGAGTCAGACTCTTTTCAAGTTAAGTCATAAAATTTAGAGCACCACTGAAGAGCAGACCTCACAGTCAGTCGGCTCTGCGAATGGTCGTCTCGTCTCGGGTTGGGTTTGTCGGGACGGCCTCGCCGAGATTCTGGCAGGGTGGTCGGAGTTGTATCGGGAATCACGGGGTAGGCCACGGGCCTGGTTGTAGTGTTGCTGCCCTGTCCAGCAGTCCAGCCACACGTTCTGCTCAGCAGTGCTGTCTGCTCCCTGCTCAGCAGTGCTGTCTGTTCCCTGCTCAGCAGTGCTGTCTGTTCCCTGCTCAGCAGTGCTGCCTGTTCCCTGCTCAGCAGTGCTGTCTGTTCCTTGCTCAGCAGTGCTGTGTGTTCCTTGCTCAGCAGTGCAGTCTGTTCCCCAGTGCGGTCTGTTCCCTGCTCAGCAGTGCTGTCTGTTCCCTGCTCAGTGCTCAGCAGTGCAGCCCGGCAACACTGCCACTCCCGGCTTAGCGAGCTTTCAACACAAAACGACAGTCGCCTGATGTGGTGGACATAATGACAGCTTTGGCTAATTATTGACGCTGTTTGGCGGTCCCGTTGTCAGGACAATCTGCCGGCCCGACGTTCCCAATATGATGACAGCTCTGGATGACAGCGTAGGTCGCACTTGCATTTGACATAATGAATAACGAATCAAAACGAATTTAACAATTCTAACACATTTCATCTAAAGATATGAGTCTCAGACATGATCCCAAATTGGTTCTTCAACGTCAGATCATTTGATCACACAATTCAGGAGCACATCGCATCGACCCAATAGTTTTGCATGCGTTTAATCGATGGTTTTGCGCTTACTGAAGAGATTACTGAGTGAATGCTAGGACTAATGCTCATTGCTTAAACGTAAGGTTCGAGGTATTACCGACGTGCATCACCTCTAGAGCGCCTTCGAAAGTTAACAATTGTTCAATTGCTATTTTTTAGCAACTCCTTCTCTTTTGCCGTCTCTTTTGGTTAACTTTTTTAGGCGAGAAGTGAGTTAGTTCATCACTGAACAACTGCCTAATGGGCTTTTTACACACTTACTGGTGGAAATGAAGCAGCAACGGAGCACAAAAATAGCAACGAAATATGCTAAACAAGAGCCATATATGCGCCGGATAAGCACCAATATGTTTTAGAAAATGAATATCTAAATCGTTGCAAATATGTGACAAATGTTCATTTAAAGACAGAAAAACTGGTCTGATGCTGATTCCACTCCAGGCCGGTTCGTGATACTATTTCTGCTTGAAAAATAACATAGTTATTTGCGAATCTTTTGATATCTGCCATAAAAGTGGTGCATTTACCCCAGAAATCTACCCTCTGGGCTCTGGGTCTGGCCCGTCTACTCGTCTGGTCTGGTTCGTCTGGTCGTCTGGGCCGGTCTGGCTCGTCTGGTCTCGCCGCCATCATCCTTCGCAGTATCTGGTGGGTGCGCGTGGCACGCGTTTCGCAGGGGCACGGACGGCGTTTGGCCATCAGTCTGATGGCTGTTAGTTGAATGGGACAGTTCTCCAGGGCGTGCGTTCAATCCTCGGTCTCACTGTCAACCTAATTTGGCTGCCGCTGTCGGCCGCCAACTGCCTACCGACTGGGAAAACAGCCGGATACGGCAGAATTCCGGGCAGCCAGAGGCCAGAGCACCGGCACATGGCTGTCGTCAGAGGTCCCAGTGGAGACGGAGGTAGACTGATGGCGTTCAGTTTCTTTTTTTCTTCTTCTAAAACTTAGTATCAATTTTTATATCTAGTATTATTTACATCAGCCATGTTCGAATAAAGGGCAGACTTTCTTAAACATTAAACACAAATAACAAGTGACTAGCAAGTCAGATTCTTAGATTACTGAATTGAAGAGGGCGCGCAAAAACGCACTAATTCGCTTATCTAGGAACAAGAAAAAACGTTCACAAATTAGCAACACCTTGGCACACATAACAAAAGTGTGGTTATACTGAATTTGAACTGGATTTGCACTGAGCATATCCGGACAGAATAGGAACAAACGCATTAAACAATAATCGAGCTTGACTTACGCTCATAACACCATGATCCTCAGTCCTTACGTAGGTCTGAAGGAGCTGGAAGTTTTAGTTTTGTGTATGTACTCACCAGAAGAGAGGTAGAGGGAGGTCGCAAATCTTCGAGAGCCGTACAGAACGTCTGACCCCATTGCGTCTGAAACACAGCAATGATTCGATGCTCAATAATCGCACATCCTCGCTTTTCGCACATGTATGGCGACAGCATAATTTACAACTTGAACGCTCCCCAGGGTTATGAAGTTTATGGTGACTAGTGCATTATGCATGGACAAGTTATTTATTGCTAATGTGCATAGGATCAAGCGTCGCCTTGCTCGAGTTAAAGTCACGCCGCCTTGCCGGCAAACTATGGTTTCACAATATGTTAGAGCTGTGCCGCGGCCAAGTCGCGTGTCTGCAGTGTGTTTGCTGTGTCAGCGATCGACTGACCCAAGTCGTGTCAGGTTCACCCCCTCCCCTCCTCGGCTGGGGCGGCCGGCGCGACCACGTACTGTCCATGACCGGGGCGGGGGCGGGGAGGGGAACGGCTCGGTCGGACCGCGCCACCTCACCAGCCATTGTTTAGCGCCGTGGTTGCGCCTATTGACACCACCAATTAGCCACTATGTCGCAGGTGACCGTCGTATAGATCGATTTTCACAGCCATTAGTCTGCACGGGCTGGGCGCCCCTGACAGCCTGCATCGGCGCCCCCGGCAGCATGTTATTGTGTAGACCCCGACCACCGCTGACAACCTGCATGGGTGCCCCGACCGACCCCGACAGTCTGCATTGGCACCCCTCGACCGCAACTGACAGACTGGCTTAGTGTCCCCGACCGCCTTATTTGCTGCGTAATTGATGGTCTGATGCTGTGAGTTTACAGGGGCAATCGAATTCGAGAAGGGTTAAACATGTTTAAACTAAATTTGCTGTCATTTTGTAATTCCCAGTGTCTTTCCCTAAGGGGACCCCACCCAAGTTCGACAGAGTGGCCATTAAGGGAGAACATTTCTTCAGATGACGGGGTGTTTCTTCACGAACATTTCATCAGACGGGGAGTGCCCTCTCCGAAGAGACATACTCATCAACCAATTTAGCTAGACGACAGGATTCCCCCTCCGGCACAGACACCTCTCCAGACGGACACGGCCTCTCTCCGGCGGAGACACCCTGCCATATATTGACGGTGTGACTGTGCTCTGATGCAAGACCGCTCCGGGAAGGTAAATATAGCCCGTCTGCAGCGGACGTCTGTTCGTGTCAGATCTTGCCTTCTACCGTCTGAAGATGAGATATGAGGAATGGTTTCCGCCCATGGCATAACAGGTAGGGTAAGAGAATATAAAGGGCGGCGACATCAAACAGACCAGAGTCGGCGCCGGCAGAGCAGGTAGCCAAGGCCAACAGGGCAGACGATGGCAAAACAGAGCGGACGGAAAACATCAAGAGACGGAGCAGACCGCAACAGAACAAAGAGCCGAGATCAGTAGGACGAATTGCGCAGACAGAATCCGTCAGTATGGGCTAAAGGAGGCATCAATAGGGAAGAAAAACTGCACCAGCGGGGCAGAGCCAGCTACTATACCAGCAACTCTGGCCGGCACCAACAGGGAAGAGTCGATACCAGCAAGACAGAGGTTTGACACGGAGAGAGTAGAGAGCGACCTCCGTGTGACGCGACTCGTCTCATCTTTAATCAGCGGGGAGGCGTCGCACGAAATCCCCACACTAATGGGAGCAATCAATAGTTAATCCGATGCTCCAGATCTTCATTGTCGCTCCGATCACAAGGGAATAAAAGGAGCGAGTCGGACGTCCGAAATACTCCTAGTCGATAATTATCAAGAGCGCATATAGATCCTATACCTCATGCTCATCACTCAGCTGACGGGTTTGTTAAAAATGCACACGCAATATCAGCAGGAATAGATGTCCTTGTACGTCATCAGTTAAGCTCTATAATGCGGCGACCAGCGGCCGTGGTTTAGTTATGCTGTCCCTGGCTGAGCCATGAATACATAGGCACGCCAAAAGGGCGGACCAGCCGATCGGGGACAGTATGACGATAGATTTGTTGCCAAGCGTTCGGCATTCCAATAGGCAATTAATGGTCGGCTAATCATTACCGATACTTAGAACACAGCGATGTGCAGTGCTCGCTGCAGTTGGCTTGGGACACCAATCGAAGTTGCACACTTCCATGAAACATGGTTCCGTTTTTTATCTGTAATTGTCCGTCGAAACGATGCATCATTTTGATCGCATTGTTCCAACGAGAATGGGTCGATCTCTGTACCAGCTCCGGGACCAATCAGAGAGGCTGACATATGTCGCGAGGGCACCTGGTTTATCAAAATCACTAGGGCAATAAATTGCAACTCTAACTCGCACACTCCTGTCCTTGATTCGTTATGCCTGCTATGTCGTAGCAATAGTGAGTCGCGTTTTCTTCCTTTTCACATTAGGATGTGGCAGCGACCCCGGACACACAGTTAAGTAACTAGCTCCGTTGATAGCGGCCGAGCGCGGTGCGTTTATCCCAGCCGGTGAGAGCTGTGCAGTTCGTCTCCACCGCCAGATCTACCGCAGTCTGAGCTATGCAGTTACGCAGTCTGCGGCCAAGGCGAGCGGAAAACGTCGCTGTCATATGACAATCGGAAAGAAGAAAATGAAATAGATAAGACAGCGGAGAGCGTTCTAAAAGTCGGTCCCAGCTCACCAAAATGCACGCCAATTTCCTCCGTGATTTCACGTATGTAATTATGTGAATTAAAGTCTGAAAGCCTTACCTTATCGTCAGTGGAAGTATAAAGGCAGATCCAGGAGAGGCACGCTTATGAGATTTGCCTGAGTGGCTTTAAACTAACCTGAGGGACGTTTCACGGCAATTGGCTTAAAAGCTCATCTGAAAGGTTTCTGGGTCGACTTGCTAAAGGAATGAAGCTGGAACTTGGGAATTTAGCATTCGCTTGCCACCCAGCTATTGTTGGGTACTAAGAAAGCAGCTCAATGGTCTCTAACAGGAATTGAACATGAACATGAAACTGAACACTTTGCATTGCGTGTGTTTCAACACATGCTCTCGCCACAATAGTACAAAAACACGACATGCAAACAAAACGTTTTTTTTTCATTTATTTATTTCACTGCCTAGTGCCTCCTACCTATATGTATGCATACCGCACACCGTACTGTATGACAGTGTACACATCTACATACATTACCTTCATCGCGACAGTTCCGAGCAAGAACATCCTAAGTGTCAAATTTTTCTCATGCCATTCGACTCAGCTCGTCGAGCTGAGTCGAATGGTATACAAATCTCAACTTCGAAAAATTTGACACTAAGGATGTTCTTGCCCGGAACTGTCGATCGGTTATCTATTGTAAGGTCATATGACAATGTCGGTGTTACCAACCCTCCAACAATAAAAAGTCGTCGCCACTGCAATCGTCGTGCGACGCTGACTTTTGAATTTGTGGTAATGTTCAAGACAATGATGTTTGCATATAATATATTTTACGACAGCTTAGGTACAGGTCTCGCGAGATTAAGCGGTAGGTTTTGCACTTTTACATTACCGGTTATATCTCGGAAACTAATCGATCTACGATGAAGCCATTTACACGATCATGGCCGGCTTGTTACCCAACAAGTCGATCGCATCTTCAACACTTAAAAGCTTAAGACGACGAAGATATAGCCTGAAGTACACTAAATTTTCTAGGTGCAAAACCTACTGCTAAAACCCGCGAGACCTGTACATCTGCGGCTCGATAAGACTTCCTCCCCCCTAAAAAAACGTACCGTTGGTTTCGTAGAAATGCAAAGAATAAAACATTTGCACCTCTACTAAGCTTTATATATGTGCATTAACACTTAGCCCGTAATGATGCTCACTGCTCAGTGGTTTATTTCCCCAACCGTATTAACACGCGCAGTGGAAGGGGGGGGGGCAGATTTCGCCCACCCCTCCTGTTTTTCGCCAATAACTCGCGCCGCGAACATAATATTAATGTGAAATTTTGGCTACCTGTTCAGAATTGAATTGCGGATCTTTTCGTGCAAGAAATAGGAAAATCGGTTCGCAACTTTTCTAGTAATAGCGGTGTAAAGTCAAACATCCTGCCGCCGCGGCTGCGCGGCGGCGCGGCGGCCGGCGCTAGCCGTTACGCGCCGCCTGAATTGTAGACTGTGCCGGGGCGGGACGGTTCCGTCTTTACATCGCGCTCCTTACCGCTGATTATATTCGATTCGCGTCAAATTTGTTGGGAAGACTAAGAAATGTACAGGCAATCTTATGATCAAAGAAGTTTGAAAATCGGCCGGTAAAAACTTGAGTTATGAGTGTGTAAACACAAAATTGTGATTGCCGCGTTTCCCGCGTCCGCCGATCCCGCTTCAGCCGGCGACATCTTACCCTTAGCAGGCTTCTAACTGCCATATTTATTGTTTGTTTAACTAGAAATTCACCCTACATACTCAAAAATGTATGGTCTTTCGTATAGTAAAGAAAAAAGAAAATCGGCTAGTAACTTTTTGAGTTATCGGCGTGTAAACGCAAAAAAGTCGCTCATATTGCAGATTTGACCACATTTGACCTCATTTGACCTTGAAGATATTGTCCTAAGGTCATGAAATTCACACACAACAGAGTTCTCCAGGGCTCCCACCTACCCTCCAAATTTAGTCTTCCTAGCTCCACTGGGAGCTGAGATTTTAGGGGGGCGCCATCCGCCCCCCCCCTTCCACTGGGCGTAGTACTCGCAACCCTTCCACTGCGCGTGTTAAGAGGAAGCTGGGTTCTGGCAAGTGTCAGCGAGCATACCTATAGCGAGTCGACCGTGCAAATAATTGTTCTAACCTCGTTCGCTCATGAAGTGCCAGTGATTGCAGATTATGCATTCATTTTGATAGATAGGGGAAGTGGTGCATTCCCTGTTAACCCGCGCCCGGCTGGGGGTCCTGGATTTCCACGCCTTGCTGGGGGGGGGGGGGGTGTTTGAACACCCCCCCCCCTTGTAACTCGGCTCCTGGGCCACGTAGCGATACGCGGAAGGCGGCGTTCTAAAAAGCGTCAAAAATAATGACGAAATCACTTCGGTCAATTTTTTGGTCAGGTCAAAGGTCAGGTCACCAGAGGTCATTGAA